GCAATGGCGCGATCTCGGCTCACCGCAACCTCCGCCTCCTGGGTTCAGGCAATTCTCCTGCCTCAGCCTCCTGAGTAGCTGGGATTACAGGCACACGCCACCATGCCCAGCTAATTTTTGTATTTTTAGTAGAGACGGGGTTTCACCATGTTGACCAGGATGGTCTTGATCTCTTGACCTCGTGATCCACCCGCCTCGGCCTCCCAAAGTGCTGGGATTACAGGCGTGAGCCACCGCGCCCGGCTATTTTTTAATTTTTGATAGAGACAGGCTGGTCTCAAACTCCGGGGCTCAAGCGATCCACCTGCCTCTACATCCCAAAGTGCTGGGATTACAGGGATGAGCTACCATGCCCAGCCAATAATCCTATCATAATAATAATGATAATACCTAATTCTTATTGAATGCTTATGACATGTCAGGCATCATTCCACATATTTTCATATAGATTATCTCATTATCATTCCTATTTTACCAATGAAAAAGCAGAAGGACAAGTAACTTATCTAACTTGCAACTAGTATGTAGCAAAGCTATTCTCTCAAGTGTAACAATATGTCTCACTCTTTCAATAAACATTTATTAAATGCCTACCACTTTCAGGCCAGGCAATATGCTAGATGACATTCTTTAGGAAATCAGCCTGGATAAAAAATAGACATGGCCCAGAACAATAGAAGAAAATCAGCCCACACCAAGATATATAATTGTGAACTCTCAACTTCATAAGGACAAGAAAAAAGAAAAGATCATACTTGTCTGATTGTATACAGGAGGAAGGAGATGAACAAAAGTCATACAAAGGATCAAAAATCAAAATGGCTCTGGCCTTTTCAAGTGCAACACTGGAAGCTAGAAGACAATGAAACATCACAGGAAAGAGGCAAAGCACATCCCAGGATGATAGTAATGGGAAACACCAGGAACAGCTGTGTACAAAATAGAGCTTGATACCCACCCAGACTAGACTTAAGAGACACAATTTTTTTTTTCTTTGAGACAGAGTCTCGCTCTGTCACCCAAGCTGGAATGCAATGGCACGATCTTGGCTCACTGCAACCTCTGCCTCCCAGGTTCAAGCAATTCTCTGCCTCAGCCTTCCAAGTAGCTGGGATTACAGACACCCACCACCATGCCTGGCTAATTTTTTGTACTTTTAGTAGAGACAGGGTTTCACCATCTTGACCAGGCTGGTCTTGAACAGTTCCTGACCACATGATCCCCTCCCCGCCTCAGCCTCCCAAAGTGCTGGATTACAGGCATGAGCCACCAGACCTCACCTTTTTTTTTTTTTTTTTTTTTGGAGTGCAATGGGGCGATCTCAGCTCACTACAACCTCTGCCTCCTGGGTTCAAGCGATTCTTGTGTCTTAGCCTCTCGAGTAGCTAGGATTACACGCATGTGCCACCATGCCTGGCTAATTTTTTGTGTTTGTAGTAGAGATGAGGTTTCACCATGTTGGCCAGGCTGGTCATGAACTTCCGACCTCAGGTGATCCATCTAGCTCAGCCTCTCAAAGTGCTGGGATTATAGGCATGAGCCACTGCACCCAGCCAAGTGACAGCATATTAAGGAAGGCCTGCCATCACTGAGGTGCTTTTGTTACTGTATTGACCCTTTAATCTGACAATCCTAAGGTAAATCTTCCCCAGATTCATTTATGTACAAGATTTACCAGGGCCATGTGCTAATGAAGTCCTACTTTCCCTTCCATGTTTTGCTTCTTAGATCAGCTAAAGACTCTCATTTTAGTCCAAAAAACCACTCTGTTTTAACCTACTTCTGAGCTGGAGGTTGACCGTGATTAACTTAGAAGCACAAAATATAGAGTAGCCCATTCCCTTTGATGATGTTCCCGCTGGATATCCTATAAGAACCTGGTCCATACAGGCCTGCCGATGCCCTGACTATGATAAGGCCCATTTCCCAGGATTCACTTGCACTCTGAGTCCCCAGTAGGAGCTCTTACAAACTATCAGGGAAGTTGAGACCAGATTATGATTCAGAGGTATCAACTTTTCTTTTCCAAAAATACTTACGGGGGACAATAATGCCCTTTTCTTACACAGCCAGGTTTGTACTTTGTCATTAAGCTTTTATATTAAGCACTTTTAACAACACTTTACACATAAATATATATTAAGCACTTTTAATAACACTTTACACATAAAGCAATTTAATAATTGCTCATTAAAAACTAATTACAGTTAGGTGTGATAGCTCACATCTGTAATCCCAGCACTTTGGGAGGCCAAGGTGGTGAATCGTCTGAGGTCAGGAGTTCGAGACCAGCCTGGACAACGTGGTAAAATCCTGTCTCTACTAAAAACAAAAAAAAATTAGCTGGGTGTGGTAGTGCATGCCTGAAATCCCAGCTACTTGGGAGGCTGAGGCAGGAGAATCGTTTGAACCCAGGAGGTAGAGGTTGCAGTGAGCCGAGATGACGCCATTGCACTCTAGCCTTGGTGATAAGAGTGAAACTCCATCTCAAAATAAAAGCAAAAACAAACTAATTACAATAGTGGCAAGGCACAGTGGCTTATATCTGTAATTTAGCACTTTGGGAGGCTGAGGCAGGATTGTTTGAACCCAGGAGTTCAAGACCAGCCTGGGCAACATAGTGAAATCCTATTTCTACAAAATATAAAAATTTTAAAATTGGCTAAGCCTAGTGGTGGATGCCTGTGGTCCCAGCTACTTGAAGGCTGAGGTAGGAAGATCGCTCGAACTCAGGAGGCACAGACTGCAACGAGCCAAGATTGCGCCACTGCACTCCAGCATAGGCAACAGAGTGAGACCCTGTCTCAAAGAAGAAAAAAAAAAAAAGAAAGAAAGTGAAAACCACTATAAAGAAAATAAACTTGGTGACAGGACAGAATATAAATCACACCAACAATGATGAAAAGTTTTCAGTGTAACTAAAAATTTTTGTCCCAACATGGGCCCTAGAAGCTCAACTGTAAATGGAAATGATTTCCTCTGCTAAATGGCTTTAGATGAGCCAGCTTCTAGAAATGTAAGTATGCTTGGATCACAGAAAAAATATTTCCAGCCATATTAAACATGTAGGTACTCGGTGACTTTACATGCCAAATTAAAGGATTTTTAATTATTCTCAAATCAATCTTGGTTGTTTTTTTCCCCACGATGTAACTATTAATTTTTGGAAATCAAAATTATCTCATGAACTTATATAAAACACTTTTCAGAGTATTTCCCTTGATTCATGGGAGAATTTTCTAGCTCACAGTTGCAGAAAGTTTTTCAAGGCAGTTTTGAGAGAACTGTTTTGTTTTTAAATTAACTTCAATGCTCCCTTACTAATGGGAAATAGTGATTTCAATTCAGGCTAGACTTTTCAAAATTATACACTGAAAAATTATAGTTGTGTATATTTATGGGGCAGAAAGTGATATGATTTTTTTAATACAGTGTGAAATGATTAAATAAAATGAATCAAACTATCCATTACCACAAATATTTGACCTTTTATGTGATGAAAACATTTGAGATTTACTCTCTTCACGATATTGAAATGTACAGTAGTCAAATATTAGCTATGTTTACCAGTACAGGTTGGTTTGAGCCCTAAGGGAGACAAAGTAAAAGGTAAGTCCTTAAAGAATAATATTAACATGGTGCTCAAACATAGTTCTGTTTGAGTCAGTAGTCATTCATAGAAGGAACACATTTTTGTAAACTACTAGGTATAGTCTACAAATACATTTTGTTTAGACAAAGGATAATTCCATATCTCCCAGTTTTCATTATCTAACTCGCATAACCTAACCTACAAAGTCTGCAGATATTAAAGGCTGCTGCCCCCTCAACTTTTCTTAATAAACTGAAATCATCTTGGAGAAAGGATGAACTTAAATGGCTTAAATTCAGTGTTGACAAGACTCTCTCCAGGATCCCCCCCTTTATACCCATCCCCCAACCTGGAGGTATACCTCTCCAGATTCACCTGTTACTCTATTCCTCATACCCTATGTTCAGCCAGGCCAGATGGCTTTCAGTTCCTGAAATATTGCTCTCTCAACTCCAGGACTTACCTAAGCCATTCTCTCACTTGCCCATTTTATCCTTCAGGTCTCCCTCAGCTTAGGTATCACCTCCCCAGAGGAGACTTCCCAGGCCATACTCTCCCCTGACAACCTGTATTTCCTTTTGTATAACACTCATCAAACCAGTAATTAATGTTGTCTTCATAATACACTGGAAGCTCCAGAGGGCAGGAACCATGTATACCTTATTCATAGCTGCATCCATATCATCTAGTATAGCACCTGCAAATACTTGTTAAACTGCACTAAAGCTTTTATCATTAGATTCATGTAAAATATTTGCAATTTTCAATTAACTGGCTAGGAAATAATTCAAGTGTTCTGAGGTAAATACCTGACTTTTAACCTTTCTTCCCTCCTCCATGTCCATACCCATTCTTTCACTTCCTTCAAAAGTTAACAACTGGTTTCCTTTTGGAAAAAATTTCAGATTCATCATTAAGGCTGTTTCAATAATATTGGGATTTTATTCCGTTCCATAATGTTGCTTTCAAATTATAATTATATATCATAATTATGTTTAATTATGATATGGTCATTATAATATTAATAACAGATCATCCATTCAACAAGTATTTGTTATGAACCTCCTATGCATTAGATACAATATCAATTACATAATATATGAAGTTATTAACATCCACAGTACTTGCTAATCAGTGCATCATACCTCTTTACTTTCCATGCCTTTTAAAAACATACAATACATACTTTCAGTGATAAAAGAATACACAGCAGTGGTCTTTTCTTTAAAAGAAAAATAGCAGAAAAATTAATTCTAGAAGAAAAATAGCAGAAAAATCTAAGAAATAAGAATAGACAGGAATAATTCTAAGAACACTGGCTTAGAGAAGTAGGTATAAATACATTCTTAATAACAAGAATTAAAACAAATTTTTTGTCAGTTTCTTAAATTGCAAGCAGTCTCCTCACCTTAGAGGTTGTGTTATCCCAAATGGCTAGACCAAAATAGTCTTCTTCCAAAAGATTGAGATGCTCACATACTCGTTTAAGCAAATCTTGTCCCTTAGCATGTTTCTGCAAAGATACATGTGTGTCTCAGTTGAGTTGAGGTTTCTTTTTCTTTTCTTTTTTTTTTTTTTTTAATTCCCAATTTTGAGACAGTCTTATACTCTGTTGCCCAGGCTAGTTTTCTGGATTCAAGCAATCCACCTACCTCCGCTTCTCAAAGTACTGGGATTACAAATGTGAGCCACCGCACCCAGACCCAATCCTTATCTTTCATTTTGCTGTTTCTGATTTGTATTCTTTATTATAAACCAGTAATTGTAAATAAAGTGCTTTTCTGAGTTCCTCAAGCCATTTAGCAAGCTATCAAACCCCATTAGGGAGTCATGGAGCCCCTGATTTATAGCCAGTTGGTCCGAAGTACAAGTCACAACTTCGAGTTTGAGACTGACTTGTGAACTGGGACAGTCTTGTGAGAATGAACCCTTAATCTGTGTGGTCTGTGCTGATTCTGGGTAGTTACTGTCGTAATTGTAGTACACCTGACTAGGATCTAGAGAGCTGGAGAATTGCTTACTGTGAGGGAAAACCCCACACATTTGTTGTCAGAAGTGTCATGAGTATATAGGAAAACAAGTTTTCTTCTTTTCTTCTTGTTTTTGAGATAGAGTCTTGCCCAGTTGCTCAGGCTGGAGTGCAATGGCACAATCTTGGCTCAGTGCAACCTCCACCTTCCGGGTTCAAGCAATTCTCCTGCCTCAGCCTCCAGAGTAGCTGGTATTAGAACTGTGTGCCACCATGCCTGGCTAATTTTTTGTATCTTCAGTGAGACGGGGTTTCACCATGTTGGCCAGGCTGGTCTTGAATGCCCGCCTCACCCTCCTAACATGCTGGGATTATAGGTGTGAACCACC